ACCCACTGCTCCCCTCAGCACTGTGTTTCATAAGATCTGCCTGTTCTGCTCCCTGCTCTTGTCTCTGGGGAATCCTCTTATCTTTCTCCCCCACCTCTGGTCTATACCCAGTTCTTATATGCATAAATAAATCTTTAAAGAATAAAACAGAAAAAGTAGGAAGTCATTTAGTGATTATCAGATAGATAAAAAATTATTTTAGGCCCTCCCTGGTGGCTCAGTGGGTTGGAGCTCTGCACTGAGAGGCTAAAGTCACTTCCGCATGGGTTCGATCCCTGCCTGCCCCGGAGGAGATCCACATGGCGAGGCAGACCTCTCTCTTGGCCCACCCGCTGCTCCCCTTCGTCTATCTGCCTGTTCTGCTCCCGGCTCTGTCTCTGGTGAATCCTCTCACCCTCCACATCTCTGGCCTATACCCCAGTTCTATGTGAATAAATAAATTAAAAAAAATCTTAAAAATTTTAGAGCTCTGTCCAAGCCCCTTAAAAAATTCTTTGAGGGCCCTCCCTGGTGGCGGAGCGGGTTAAAGCACTGCACTAAGAAGCTAAAGCCACTTCCGCATGAGTTCGATTCCCCGAAGGCGACCACACGGCGTGGCAGACCACTCCTGACCCGCCCGCTGCTCCCCTCAGCGGTGTAATTCGTAGATCTGCCTGTTCTGCTCCCCACTCTGTCTCTGGTGAAGTCTCTCGCCGCCCCTGAGCCTCTGGCCTGTACCCCAGAGTTCTATATGCACAAATAAATCTTTAAAAAAAAATTCTTTGAAGGGTGAGAAAAAATTGCCAACATGAGGCTTTATCATCACATTTTTTCTTTTAAATGTCAATAGAAAGAAGACTGGTTAAACTTTACTAGAGTTATCAGGTGGACAAAAATAAATCACTGTTTTTTTCCAACATCATGATCATCAGAACTATCCATACTGATCATCAGAAAATTTAATGCCTCTCATTATACAAAGTTCAAAAATTGCTGGAATAACCTAGCTAGCATTTTTTGAATTTCATAAGTTTTCACAGAGGCACACCAATTGGCTAGAGGAAAACAAAAAATAGCCTCAATTTATACAAATCTCATCAGGCAAAACAAGTTTCACAAATAGATATATGCACTTTAGTTTGTCTCATATACACACACATATATACTCCATTGTGATTTAATTTTAAGATTTAAGATCTCACTGTAAGAAAAATAAAGCTTTATTATTAGGACCCATGCAATTTATTTTTGGTTACCTTCAAGCATTTTCCATTTTCAGGACAGAACCAAAGACATGTTATAATATATGTGGGGAGGGGGAGAAATAAAGCCAATGTGATGCCTCATATGACTGAATGCCTAGCAATTCAACTATTCTCTTACCAACCTATTAACCTTTACTAGGCCCTTTTAGCAAAAGTTAATTAGGGTCGTTTATGTACAAGTCAAGTCAGACTTACCCAGCTCAATTTTTAGAAATATTCAAGAAATACTACTTAAAGTTACTTAAATATCCTTAAATTTTAGCTCCTTATCTCTTATTTTTTAAGCGTCCTTATAATATCAATAGAATTTACAGATGGGCTTATGGTGGGGATAGAGTATCTGTACACGATATATAAAATCCCACGTTGATATGTATACATGCATTTTGTGACACCTTTTCTATGTCTCCCATCAGATCTCAATGGATTTTATGAACTCAAAGTAGATGGAGAACTGCTACTATGTATTTCAAAGGGTATGGTTCATTTTTTTTTTTAAGATTTATTTGTGCATACAGAACTGGGGTATAGGCCAGAGGTTCTGGAGCGGCGAGAGGCTTCACCAGAGACAGAGTGGGGAACAGAACAGGCATATCGACAAAGTACACTGCTGAGGGGAGCAGCGGGGTGGGTCAGGAGAGGTCTGCCACGCCATGTGGTCCCTTCCAGGGCAGGCGGGAATCGAACTCATGCAGAAGCGGCTTTAGATTCTCAGTGCTGTGCTTTAACCCGCTGCACCACCAGGGAGGGCCTGGGTATGGTTCATTTTTCAAATCTAAGAGTAGTAATTATGTTCCAGTTGATAATTAATTGCTAAATAAAATAATTCCTTCCACAAAATGAAGGCTTACAAGTTTTATAGCTGCATTCCTGGAGTAACTCTTGCATTTCTGACATTAAAACTAGGCATTAGAGGCCCTCCCTGGTGGCGCAGCGGGTTAAAGCACAGCACTGAGAATCTGAAGCCACTTCCGTATGAGTTCGATTCCCGCCTGCCGCCTGCCCCGGAGAAGACCACATGGCGAGCCAGACCTCTCCTGGCCCGCCCGCTGCTCCCCTCAGCAGTGTACTTCGTTGATCTGCCTGTTCTGCTCCCCACTCTGTCTCTGGTGAAGCCTCTCACCGCCCCTGAGCCTCTGGCCTGTACCCCAGTTCTGTATGAATAAATAAATCTTTAAAAAAAAAAAAAAAACTAGGCATTAGAACAAGTTACTAGAAACATTAATATCACTTTAGCAAAAAGACAAGATTTCTGCAACAATCTAGACTAGCTAGATTGTTTTATCACCGATAAAACGCTCTTAAAAAAATTTTATTTATGGGCCCTCCCTGGTGGCACAGCAGGTTAGTTAAAGCACCGCACTAAGAAGCTTAAGCCACTTCCGCATGAGTTCGATTCCTGACTGCCCCAGAGGAGCTCCACATGGTGAGGCAGACCTCTCCTGACCCGCCCGCTGCTCCCCTCAGCAGAGTACCTCGTTGATCTGCCTGTTCTGCTCCCCACTCTGTCTCTGGTGAATCCTCTCACCCTCCGCATCTCTGGCCTGTACCCCAGTTCTATATGAATAAATAAATCTTTTAAAAAAATTTATTTATTTATGCATACAGAACAGGCCAGAGGTGCAGGGGCAGTGAGAGGATTTACCAGAGACAGAGTGGAGAGCAGAACAGGCAGATCAACAAAGTACACTGCTGAGGGGAGCAGCGGGCGGGTCAGGAGAGGCCTGCACGCCATGTGGGTCACCTCCCTGACAGCGAATCAAACTCGTGCAACAGCGGCTTCTGAGAGCTTCATAATGCAGTGCTTTAACCCGTTGCGCCCACCCACCCCAGCCCCTAAAATGCTCTTCTTAGTAGTCGTTTGTACTAAAAACTTCTCTATCCCAAAGAAAAGGTGTATGTATTTTATCATGTTTCATTGCTATTTTTTCCTCCCAAGACACAAAATGACTAATTATTCTCAAACCAAGATCCTGGTTTTCAATGTTTAAAAAAAAAAACTCACTTTAAGATATCACTGGAAAAAAAAAGATATCACTGGAAACAGCATTACCCATCTTAAAAAAAAAAAAAGTAGTCCTTTTCTTAGTCTGTTTTAAACCTATGTGAAGTGCTTGCCACTGGCAGGATGTAAGGCACAATTTCCCAAAACCCAAGCAGATTTGACCTTTAAACTAAGTGATAAAATCTGTTTCCCACAGTAAAAGATAAAACTTGAAGTTCTTAGTTAAAATTCTGAAATTACAGTCAGAGGCTAAAGCCAAAATTTCAAAATTAAAATCATGGAATGTTTATTCAAACTCAAATCAAGGCAATACTCAAGGTTGTTCACTTTCGGCTTTTTAAATAGTTCTGCTTAAGGTATCCACTTTCTCCATTGAAACTTGATCAGAAAAATTCCTTTAAAATGTTTATAAATTCAATTCTAAAGGTCCTGGTGAATTGAATATTTCATCTGATTATTTTAGGGAAAGACTAGTTTCATTCATAAGCTACATCTAATCTAAAAGGGAAAATAATTTTCTTCTCGGAACCTTTCTTTTAAAAATGAGCAAAAAGTTGATGAAAGCACACTCCTGCCACGTCTTTTCCCCTCCCACACTCACGTAGCAGCTATTTCATCCCTCCAGAGTGCATTCCAAGGAAAGCCCGAGAGCCACAGCACTCAGAGAAACCAGAAACGGTTAAGCTGAAATTGGCCAGCCTGTTTGGCCTTTTAAATCAATTCCTAAAAGGAGATCCAGCTGCTTCTCCATCCCGCTCTTAAAGCAAACACAGCAAAATGCAAAGGATCCTCTCCATTCCCAGAACGCACGCGACATTCGAGTCTAAAAGCCGAGTTGTACTTAATACAGTTTTATTTAGAATAGTCTCATACTCGTGATACCACTCATCCTCTCCCTTAAAACAGCTCCCGGGGCCACTCACGTATTTCAACTCAACATTCTCAGTCGACCAAGGAATTATTTATACGGAGACGTTAAAAAGCAGCAAACTCTCTACTGAGAGGGGGAGAGGGCGAGGTCCTTGTGTGTCTTCAACGTTTTTACGGAACGAAGAGGGAAAGAGGAAGACGAGCTTCCCCCGCGGCCGATCTGACAGCCGACTTCCTCGCCCTAGCAGCCACAAACGTCGCCCCGAGCTACGTCTCTTCTCCAGCGAGCACAGCTGCGCGCAACAGATGAGTTAAGACTAAAGTTCTCAAGATAAGTCCACTTTCCAGACCCAACGACTTTTCGATAGGGCAAAAATGCCTGGAGTGCTCCCGTTTCAGCTCCAAACTTTAAAATCCATCTCCACTGCCACATGGTAACCATCTGCCGCCGCCGAGGCCAAGAGCCCACGCCCCACCCTCGCGTTCCCCTCAGTTTAATAGGGAAGACCAGGTGTGAGCTCGGAAAAAATCAACAGGGTGATTTCTCCCCGGGAAGGAAAATTCAAGAAAGTTCTGGTCCCCGGGGCGGGGACAGCGGCCACCGCAGCCCCAACGGCGAGCGAGACCCACCAGGAGGTGGGAAACGGCGCACGGACGACAAGGGCGGTCGGGCCTCTGAGGCAGCGGGGCGTGTGTGGCGCAGGGCGAGGGCCGCGGACTCGGAGAAGGTGCTGAGGCTGCGGGGGAAACTGGAGAAACCCCTGCCCCGAAGCCATCCCGCCAGAGAAAGTGAGGGGCTAGGTCGCCATAGCCGTCCTTGAAAGGGCCACGGCTGCCCAAGGGCCTCAGCCGCAGTCCGTAAGGTCGGAGAAATGTCTCACCTGGGCAGTGGGACAGGAGGGCGGCCGGCTCTTCAGTTCCAGTTGCCTGTACCCGGGCAGGCTACCAACTCGGCTCCCTCAGTCCGCTGGCGGCGCGACTGGGCAGCAGAGGGAGCCAGTTAGCCCTTTTATAACCTCTAGGCCGCCACGGCCGCGCAGGGGAGGCGGCGGCTGCAGCCCTCTACGTGAGCTCGATCACACCCGCGCCCCGGCGACTGCGCAGGCGCCTAGCCGCGACCTCCCTCCCGCCCACACTCGCGGCCCACACCCGAACTCCCCACCAGCCAGTGAAGTCTGAGGCCAAGGGGAGGGCTCGCTCGGAGCGCCTGATATATAACGCGCCTGCGCGGGGTTTTCGCCACGCCAGAGTTACCGTGGTTACCTGGTTTGGTCCCAGCTGCTTTCAGTCAGGCTGTTCTGCGCCTGGTTGTCTGAGAGTCCTCGCGCCAGGAGTGAACGAAGAAGCCGCGCGCAAAGAAGTGTCTTACAAATAGGAAGAGGAACATGGAAGTGTAGAAAATAATCCTGTTTTATATTATTCAAGAAGCCTCAAGTGGAAAATAATGCAGTGCATCCAGCCTTGATATCTTGATCCTGATGGCTTTTTGTTTCACTAACGATCCTCTCTCACCTCCATGGTTATTGTATACAAACTCTCCCGTCTTTATCCATAATCGATAGATAACAGACTACTTGGTCGAGACACACATTATCTGGATTCAATTCTTGACTCAATCCGATATTAATAGAAAGCATTAACCTGTTTCTCAGTACCCTCATCTGTAAAATGGAATTGCAGAATACCTCACAGAATAATTGTGAGAATTAAATATGTGATGACATAAAGCATTTAACAAATGCTTATGTCTACCATACAGGAAGGACTTGCTACAGATTAAAATAACAATATTAGAATGTTATTATTGCCTAAAGATACCAATATTGTGCTTGATCCAATATGTCTTAGTACCAGGGAGCAAAGAATGAAGATCATTTTTCCATTGTCAGTAAAAGGGAAGAATGACTTCCCTAAGACTTTTTAGTCGTTAAAGATTGTTTCATGTGTTTCATGTACGCTTAAAAGCATGGAAAAATTAACAGTTAACTTACTTAGAAAGTATTGATTATATAGAGAAATAGAGGGAACTTTAGAAATCCTGGGTTCCCATCTTTATGCTTTATCAATAATAGATGATGGACTGGTTGCTTCAGTCAGTGATCCTCAAAGTGTAATCATAGGGTCCACACGGTCGAAATTGTTTCATTCTAATATAATATTTGCCTTCTCACTTTAATGAAAGTACAGAGGCAACATAGCTTGTAACATTGCAGCAGATTGAATGCAGAAACAGATATAAGAACCTTCTATTAGGCCGAAAATTAAATTAGTACAAAACAATTCCACTGTTCTCACCAAAATTCTTTTTGCCTTGAAAAATATATCTAGTTTGCATTTTTAAAATATTACTTATATTAACATGTAAACGGTTTGTTGTTTTTAAATGAATTAATAAACATATTACGTGCTTAATGCCTAAGACAGTAAATGTTTATAGCTATGATCCACATAAAACCTGTTTGGAGTCCTCAACACCTTTAGGAATATGAAAAGGCCATGAAACCAAATTGTTGAGAAGCACTAGTCAAAGAGACAAAGATCTCTTCCTCCTAAGAAAATTCTCTGCCTCAAATAAAGCTGTCATTGACTTATTTCCAGGCACTAGATAGAAGTGTCTGAAAATTGACAACTTATCCCATGAATTACATGACTCCAGACCCCGAGGCAGACTTAGTATGATGCTAACAAAACGAATTTCAGGGGCCCTCATGTGCTACAGCCAGTCTAATTCTTTCCTCATTAATACCCCATCTGTCATGCTTTCTCTGTCTAGTGGTATTGGATTGGCTAACTGGCATTTAAAAAATTTAGCTGAGGGGAAGTTGAGTTAGGATACATCTGGTTTGAGTTTAGTGGGATATATTTTTGTCACAGTCACTTCCATGTATAGTTAAGATATTGCCATCTGTCCTAGTGTAAATGGCATCTAAGAATATTACTACCACCCATGGTGCTGATTTACCCAGCATTAAAAAACAAAGGTGCTTGAAGCTATTTCAATGTGTTCTGTGTTCTAGCATCAAAAATACATGTATAGCAGAAAAGAACGTTTAGAGAACCTAGAACTAACATGTGGAAAATTCTTTCTATATTGGATGTGTAAATTTTTAATGAAACATTTCATTCATTGTCAGTCCTTACTGTGCCAAACAAAAAGGAAGTTCTTTTCTTTCAGAATTTATGAAGGATATACACAACAAACTATTAGGGTATCATCAGCTTAAAGAATGTGTCCTGTGTTCTAACATCAAAAATATATGGATTGTAGGGTAAATGAAAATTGAGCAGGCTTTTAAGGCACTAGATTCTGTGGCTATCACCTGCTACCATGATACTGCTAATACAGGAGGGGCTTAGGGTGCCGGGTATGAATGCCTGAGGATGGACACCTGGAGTATGGCGTGGGGATATGTAAGTGCTTACATCTGAGCCTGAAGGTTGAGGCTGTAAGGGCAGCGTCACACAGAGAACATACTAAGGCAGAACAGTCACAAGAAGAGACATCCAGGAAAGAACTCCAGAGAATACCCAACGAGAAATACTAAAGATTTGCTGGGGGCAAAGCCTGCCAATCTTCTGGTCCCCCTCCCTTTCCAGTGGATTGCCTCACCACAATTGGCATAGAAACAGCATTAAAGCCTGAAAAAAAGTCACTGAGAACCTGGCTGTGCCTTGTTTGGCACAATACCTGATATGGCCTCAATTCTTTTAGGTCATTTATTATTTTCCCCAAATGTGGTGAGACATACAACTTTATGTGACATTATCAATAATGAGTTGTGAAATGGAAACTTCTGATCTATCCTTACTCATGTTATTTGATTGCCCAAAAAAGACTCTTCCTTTCAAATCTACATCCAACTGTTTAATTTGATAATCCCTGCTCGGTTACAGTGAAGATTAGAGGTATCAAGGGGAACAGAAAATAATACAATTCTCCTCTGTGAGAGAGCTGCTTTAACTTCACTACACACTTCCAATAAATCCTTCTCTCGCATGTGAAAAAGTTGAATATGTTCAGTAATCAATAAATATTTATCAAAGACAAGATTAAAAGTCATATATTCTTAATAAGACTGATAATAAGCAGTTGTGGCTTGATACGCAGTTAATCAAGAAGCTTGCAAGCAGCCTCTAAAAAACCAACTAATCATTAAGAAAAATAAAAACAAAACTAAATAAATAGCTAGTCAGTCACAGCCACCCATTTTTTAAAGTCAAAAACATTTAGTCTAGTAAACATATCTGAAAATCAGCCAGTTCTCACGTTTCAACCAGAATAATCTCGTTTCTACAGCTAATTTCAATTCATTCCACCTCTGAAAGTTAGCCATTCCCAGAACTCCACAGTTCATAAAATACTACCAACACTATTCACAAAATAGTGAAACTGTATCAAACAAGCATGTACTACTATGAATAGAAAAATATTAATCAGTTTTTTATTCCACATTTTGAATAATGACTTCTTCCTTTGACAATCAACATCTTTGTACCCAACGAAAGAAGCAAAAATAGAAGAGTTAGCCCCTGGTATTGAAGGCAGTTTTAATCAAATTGCATTCAAACATATGAAATACTTTGAAGTCCTTTGAAAGAATGAATAAATATTCAATTGTGACAATTTTAAAATACTGCCTGCTTAGGAATTAGAAGAATAAATAAAGTAGAATTTAATGAAATGATAGTAGTAAGTAGGTTTTTTAGCAGGGGATTAAGATGATGAAAGTAATATTTTAGAAATGTGTCATACAAATTAGAAGAGAAAAAGCATGGAGTACAAATTAGCGATTCAAGGTGCATTGGATAAATATTTATTGAACACCTACTTACTGTGTCTAAAACACTGCTTATTGGGTGCTGCAGAAGATCAAACTTACACAGTTTGCTTTCAGAAATTTATATTCTTATTGGATAGAGTTAACACTTACACTTGTTGCAATGGGAGTTCATTCATCCAATAAATACTAGCATGCCTTAATGAAACAAATTATGCTAACTGTTTAGGCTATGATAGTCCTGCTATCATAGAACTTTGAGTCCTTTGAAGAAGATTAATAAACTTTTATAAGGGAAAAATAACAAGGTGCTATGGAGAAAGAATAATAAGAAAGACATAATTTAGATTGACAGTACAGGGAAGGTGTCACTAAAGTAGTAACATATAAACTGAGACATGAGTTAGCCAGATGAAGTGTGTGAATAAGAACATTCTAAAGACAGAAAAATAGGCATAAGGTGCATTTGTCAGGAAAAAAAAAAAGCTTGGTACATTTGAGAAGCTGAAAGAGGTTCAGTGTCACCATAGTGCAGTTAACAAGAGAGAAATTGGTATGATAGGCATGCTGAGTCTAGATCAGGCAAGACCTGCACTGCACTTGTATGTGCATTGTACTGGAAGAAGTACAATGGATAGCACTGAAGTATTTTAAATAGCAGAGTGTCATTATATTATTTACCTTAGCAAAGAAGAAACACAATGTAAAAAGAAAATCTTTTGCTGTGAATGGTATGGGGATGGACCTATGGACTAGTAATAACCTCCTGAATCATAAGTAGAGACATGAAAGTAAAGAGACAAAGAATTCTAGAATATAGATGAAATGGTAATCATTTCAGTCACTAACATCCTTCCACTGTGGCATTGAGGAAAGTGGCTGCTGTGTGGTAGCAACATCATGTGACTTCAATAGAATGCTCACTGTGACAGGTAAAATAAGATCCCCTCAAAGTCGTTCACATCTTAACCTCTACATTACCTACATGCTAAATGAATTTTGTAATTATATTAAGGGCCTTTCTGTGGTGGTAATTAGTCTGTAGTGTTCAGATGAACTCGGTTTGATTAAGTGGGTTTTTTAAAGCTGAATACCTTTACCAACTATGATCAAAGAAATGTATGTGAGGATGGAGCAAATTCAGATATTTGCTACATTGCTGAATCGAAGATGGAGACAGGGTGCATGAGCCAAGGAAAATGAAAGGCCTCTAGAAACTGGAAAAAAACAAAGATTTGAATTCTTTTTTAGAAACTCAGGAAAGGAAGCATTTCTACCAGCATTGATTTTAGCCCAATGAGAACCAGGTCAGCATTCTGACCTATAGAAATTTAAGACAATAAATTTATTAGAAACTAATAGACTCAGCTATGTTACCATAGACTAAAACAGAGCAGAAGACAGCTACATTTCTCAAAAACCTGAGTTAATTTCCCAATATTCTCTCCTAGAGGTGAGAATTAGAATTATAACTGACTTCTAATACCACAAAATTATTCTTTAGATCACAGGAATTATCTGAGGAAGAGGACTCCAGATAAAAAGAAAGACCTCTCAATAGTAGGATAGGAACATTAAGACTCTCATTTTAAAATTGAAAGGCATCTGAATTCATATCTTACCCTCAAGCTGGTAAAGCAGGACATATTAGTTACATAAAAATTGTTCTATGGCTCTAGCTTGGAAAACTGGCAGAATAATGGAAATAAGGAAGGTGGGAAAGTGAGGCAAATTTGGAGAGAAGTCAAAGATTAGGATTTTTAAATCTGTTTGAAATTTGTCTTTTTAAAAAAATTAAACTGAAGATTTTTATTTTTAATCTTACTGGGTTTAAAATGATAGATGACATCACAGGCTTCAAATAAATATTGCCAATTACTAGTCAGTTTACAAATATGAAGCAGATTTCCATATCACAATAAAAACTTATCAATCAGCTAAAATTCTATCACAGTTCTAATTTAAAATGAATCCATGATTTTGTTGGATTTAACTCTGCTCAAATTGAATCAACAGCACATTAACTATACATAACTATTTGCTGTTGATGAGCAAGGTAAGGTTACCTCCTGTGGTATTCATTAGTGTTACTCATTAAGTATTTCAAGAGGTTTTCTCTTCCCATATAGAAAAGACTGCTTCAACCTTCTTTTTAGTGTATCCAACTAACATGCTTTGTCAAGTGGCAGTGATGTGTTTGAAACTCAGAATGTTTCACCATGGTTATTATTATTATTGTTGTTATTATTATTTTGGTGTTTTTTTTTTTTTTCCCCTCAGTGTTCTTGTTACCACAGAAACCGGGCTGGACCTGAAACCTGCCTGAATAGCAAGCTAAGTTCCAAAGAGAAGAGCAGGGAACATTGCTCAAAATCAATTATAAGTAAAAGATTGAATTGACTGCCATAGGAAAAAAAGACTTAAAAGTCTCACTTCATAAGGCCTAGACCTACAAGGTGTGCCTAAGATTGAAACTAATCAGGACTACAGAGAATACTCATCAGTCTAATGCTGAGTATGGAAAAAGAGCTTCTCTGTGACATATGAATGCAGAGACAATTAAAGGCAAAGGGTAAACATGAACACTTTTAGAAAACCTCTTCAGTCAGGCACCTGGGTCACTAACCACAAGAAAATAGAGCCCTCCTGCTAAAGGAATTTACAGACTGTTATGTAATTAAGGTAGTTACAAATTAACAACAAAGCCCTAGCCCAGCTCAATTCCTAACTAGACTGATCCAACTCCTTATATAAACAACCTGAGAGAAGACTAGATTGTTTATTGCATGGTGTGGACACTATGTTTTTCCTTACCATAAAATAGTACTGCCCTATACACAATGCCGGGTCTCATTTAAAAAAAATCACACACACACACAAAATAAACAAGCTAACAAGGGGTCATTAAGAGATAACATCGAGAGATAAAGTAGTCAACATAGATGAGTCAGATTTGAATTACCAGATAGACTTCAAACTAATAGTGAAAAAAGAGGACAATTTGCCTGAGGATATGGAGATTTCAGTGAAGATGAAAATTGTTAAAGTAAAAAAAATGCTAGAAGAAAAAAATTCCATGATATTCAGAAATGAAAACAGAATATCCTGAAGCTCTGGGATAATACTACCTATATGTGTAATTGCAGCCTCAAAAGAATAAGAGAGATGGAACTTCAGAAATATTTGCAAAAATAGTGACAGGAAATATTTTAAAAAATAATAAAAGACACTATCAAACTGCAGATCCAAGAAACTCATTATACTTCCAAATCTGGAGTGGCCTCTCAGCCTGTAAGACCTGATTCACATCAGGAATGTTATAGTCTTTATTCCCACAGTGAATGATTCAGAGATGACACAATCCAAATATTCAGATGCTGACATTCCTTTGAACTATTTGATTAGGGACATAGAAGGTGGGACTGTAAACAGCAATAGGTCCAAATAGAGTAAAGAACAATAATCTTATTGCATGACTAAGGATAGATTCTTTGGATTGAAACAAGTCAATAACTGATCTTCTGGCACTCTTCACCTCCACCTTAATGAATGCTAACCTGAGAACAAAATTGACAAAAGGTCGACTTTGAAAAGTCAGAGTTGAGAGAAACTGAGAAAAACCCTAATTTAATGGTATCTGAATACTAAACTACAATAGGATGTTTTACTATTACATAAGCTAATAAAGTCTCTTATTGTCAAAGCTTGAGTTTTCTCAAATCTCACTTGCAAATAACCAAATATATCTAACTGGTAAGACACAGTTATGAATTTTAACTGTGAACAATTTATAAATCTCCCATGCCTTTTCCATTTTCTGTAGTTTTCCTTTAGTTATCACTCTGAATATAAATAGCTTGAATCCTAAATATTACTTATTTTCAAGTGCTGTAGCTTACAGGGGAATATCCAATAGCAATTCTGTCAAGCATAGGAAATGTTTACAAATGTTAATCATATTTTGCTGAAAACAACGGTACAGTCTAGAAGTTTGTTTATAAGCAAACAGCTGCTTACTTGGCTATCTCAAAGATTTGTAGATCTTGGCCAGTTCATGCACTCTTCCACCCAAATGAACTTGTCAAGAACTCAAACAAACCTGGAGAGAATGCCAGAAATCTCAGCTTTGTTTGGTGAAGCAAGACCCAGGACCTGGAGCTCAGTCAGTCATGGAATTATTGGATTTGGTAGGAAGATAAACTTTGGTCTAGGAGAGCCACTGCTAGCTATGGAAGCCTACATTCTAGTCCATTATTAACAGGATAGCATGGTGTCCCTGAGTGAATTACTTTAGTTTTCATGCTAAAATTTTTTTTCATCTACAAACTGATATTTGCCCTATCAACTATACAGACATTAGAGAATCAATAGAGACAGCTGTTTTTAAAGTTCTTGGGAAAGCATGAAATGTTATATTAATACAAGTAAACCAGTTATATGGAACTGGATGCTCTACAGTCCAGCAATATGTGACGTTTTTATTTGTTTTGGTTTTGTCACAACCCCAAAGTTGAGTTTTAGACCTATTTCAATGACCTGGAAAAACTATTAGTGGAATGACTAGTCCTAATCTCAATTGGATAAAGATGTTTACTTAAAGCATCTGTAATTAATCTATAGTTACTGTTAATTCTTAAATCAGTCCTTAAGTAAAAAAAAAAAAAAAAAAGTGCTGTACTTCCTAACCAATTGAAGGGAAACTTTTCATAGAGCTACTTGGTGATTGACTGTACTGATAGGATAGCCCAATTCTTCCCCATTTCTAGCATTCACTCTTGTGTAGTAAAAGATTTAATGGTGCCCCGAGATAAGTTTGACTTTTGCCCTCAGTTCCTGGGAGGTAATCTCACACCTAAGAGGAATGTCTTTGTTAGCCTGCGGCCCTGAGTCACACTGGATAGTTTAACAATGTCATTGAATCTATAGAACAACTTGGGAATGTTGCCATCTTAAGTATTCCAGTCTGTGAACATGAGATTATTTCCACCATCCCAATATTTTTCGATCTTTATGATCAGTCTCTGTGTCCGACACCAAGTCAGAGATACAACCCAGGTATATTGTACATTTTGATAGTCAGAAGGAGTCTGGCACCTGACAGACTTGGGTTAAAATTCCAAACCTTTTACTGAAGAGTTGTGTAAATATGGACAACTTATTTAACTTTTCTTAGCTTTTGTTTTGTCATCCATAAAGTACAAATATTAGTACTTATCTCAAAGGATGCGAGGATTAGTAATTATGTGGAATAATTTGTTTAGTAACTAGAAAATAGTAAATGCTCAATTAATGTTATCTGTTTGTCTTAGTCCATTTGGTTTGCTATAACAAAATACCACAAATTTGGTGGTTCATAAACAACAAGAAGTTGATTTCTCACAATTCTAGAGAACAGCAACATGGATGGAGCTAGGAAAGATCATGCTTAGTGAAATAAGCCAGAAAGAAAAAGAAAAATACTAGATGGTTTCACTCATAGCAGGACTATAATGGACCAGGCGATAAAATAATAATAATAATGAACAGCTATATATCAGAGACATTTTATGAGGGTGGAATGGGGGATGGGATCCAAAACAGTGGGGGGAGGGAAATGCATTGGGCTATGGTGATGGCACACGGGTGATCTGGTGATGGGAAGCCCACGGGGACTACAACTGAGATGAAAAAATGCACAAAATGATGTAAAAATAAACTGTTATATTATTTAAACAGAGAGAGAGATCTGGTTTTCATTCCCAATACTCTTCTCCTCCTCTGACAAAATACACCTTCTGTTTCCAAAGATGTAGGTAGTATGATTCCTGGTAATGTATAAATAAGACCTTAGAAGACCATGCTTTTGGCAACTTTATTGCTTAACTTTGCACTTGGAGGGCATAGAAGCATACCTGGGGATCAAAATACAATTATTAGAATGTATCTTTGGGAAGGTTTGAGGAAGTGAAACAGAGGCATGTTTTTAACAATCCTGGGCAACTTCGGTGAATTCAGCAGCAGGCATGAGGGCTGGACTACATTTCCCAGAGTGCATCTCTAAGAGGACTCTGGGGTGTGTGGCAGAGGCAGCAATTCTTCCGGGGAACGGAAGCCCAACTTCTCATGAACATTTGGAATTTCCTGGTTTCTGCTGACTCTTGAGGCTTAGGAAGGCGCCCCCAACAGAATTCAGAGTGAGTACAGCGGAAGAGAAATTTACTTAGAACAGATTCTAAGTGTAGGAAAGACATTATTGGGAGGTCTATCATCAGAACTTTTTAAAAAAGCTGTCACAGAATTTTAGCGTTTAGCTGTTTTCCTTACAGAAGTTAGGGAATGACCAAAGTTTTGCATCACAATTTATGGAGCTATCTTATTAACTACAGCAAATGATTTTCAGATGGTTTTTTTTGAGAGTTGGTTAAAGATGGAATTGCCAACTGCTCTGCATTGGTCCTGCATTATATTTTAATTAAGGAAGTAAAAATATTTTTAAGAAAGCAAACTATAGAGCAGGTCAGTGATACCTTAAAATCTATATTCCACTAGCTCTTCAACTTTTTCCATCCCCAAGCATGAGAAGACAGATTCTGAAAAGGGCTCTCTCAAATACTTCCTAATCTGGCCTCTTCTCAGAAGTAGCCACAGAGATTCAAGATGGGCTTTTTGGTTATGGTGTAGTGCTTTATGAGTTAATCTTTCTTCTGTCAACATGAACACAATGAGAAACTTTTAGATCATTTACTACAGGGAACTCAGACAAATTATTCATCTTAAAGGCTTTATAGCCTCATTTAGTAATACTTATTGCCCTTCATTTCTCTCAGTCTCCTTTGAAAAAACATAAATAGTAAATGAATGTTGAAAATGTTTTCTATATCTTTTTCATGAAAACTTGACCTTTGGAGGCAGATAGTCCTGAATTTGAATCTATGGCCCCGCTCCCCCCCACCCCCACTGTGATATCAGATTAGTTAACCTCTTAACACTTTATCTTCCTCAGGCTTGATTACTTATTTAATTAATTAATTTATCTTTATGGTATTTTCAACTGTGATAGAGACTGTACTAGTTGTTGTAGTAGATAGGAAAGATTGAATTCAACCCTGCAGGACTTTACAGTAAATAAATCTGATAATTAGGTATTTCAAAACTGAAATAGTTGTTAGATACTTTAGAGCCACTTTCTCTATCTTCCTTCCTTTATGAGAAGTGAGACAAACCAAGCTCCAACAAGTCAGGTAACAATCCTATGTCACAAATTCAGTCAGTGGCATTGACAAGAATAAAAGTCCTGAGTGTCTATTGTTCACTTCTTTGTCTTCCTTGCTTTTGGAGACATGTATTTTCACAGTACACAAAGCAGAAGGCAGCTCTAAATTTGCCATATAAAATAAAATTATGGTGCTAGTATTTCCTTCCAAAATTCATTTTGTGAATTGTGAACTTTTTACCCCATTGTGCTGTCAGATATAAAATATAATAACCATTACAGCTTCAAACAGAAACAACTATTCAATTTGCACTGTAACTTTTGAGCAGCTGGGTATGCATGTCCTAGCATGTTTACCAGCCTGTTAATCAAATCTTAGCCCGTGGGCCATCACATTTTGAGTAACATAGTACATCAAAGATTCCTAAAAGATAGTGAAAATCACAAAACTTTTTAGAAAAAGTAGCTAATTTTCCCTGCATGAAATTTCTAAATAATATGAGGCTATAAAAAATTATATTTTGTTCTAAAATAGCCTCTTGACTTTTAAAAGAATCTTTCTCTCACTTTTCTTTTTTTTTTTTTTGTACTTAATGACTGCTTAAGAGAAAAAAGCAATACAGATAGCAGATGGTTCCCATAGAGGGTTTTGGAAATCATCTTGTGGAAAATACTGTAAGTGTACTAAAACATTTTTTAAATTAGACTAGTAAAAAGTCGAGTAAAACCTCAATGAATTAATGAACATAGGACATGAGACAATTTACAAAATTGAAATTAGAACTATTAAGTCTGAAAACACTTTCAATTTCAACAGTGATCAAAGAAATACTATTAAAACTTACAAATACTATTAAAACTTACAAGTGCGGTAGTGTATAGAAAGGGGTATATGATTTTAAAATAAAATTTGTCCCAATACTTCTATGTTGCAGAACTTATCTTAAAGAAGTAATTTGGAAAATATCAGCATAGAAATATTCAGAGGTATTCTTTTTCTGGTAATTTAAAAATAGAGCAAACTATATGTCTGAAACAGGGACTGTTTAACAAAATAAAACCTACTTGATGTGATGTTATGCAACTAAAAAAATTATGAAGCTTATTTGAAAACATGGAAATTGCTTATGATATTTTTTTTGAGAACAAATTGAAAAAATACGTGTCCTCTTGCTTATAAGTAGATAAAAGCTATACATGTAAAAAGACTAGGGAATACGTATTAAATTATGAGGTATATATGGTTATATTATGGGTACTTTAACAATTCCAATTTCTAGACAGCTATGCTATACTGTCACTACATTAATTTCCCCAAATTAATTACTGTTAACAGTTTGTTATGTTTACTTTTAGTCACATTAATATAAAAATAATACATATCAAATACATATGGGTATGGGGATATATATATGTGTATGTCCTTTTTACAGATCAATGAGATAATGCTAAAACAACCAAATGTTACACTTTTCTTAATATGTTCTGTATATCTTTCCATAACATACATATTTTCCATTGTTTCTATTTTTTTTTAAATTTCTGACAGTTGTACATTTTCCCTTTCATCATAATTTGCAGTTAACATTTCCATAGATATTCTTTCTTCCTAGGATAAATTCTAGTAATGGAATTGCTAGTTGAAAGAGGATTCTTATTTAACATTTTGATAGATAATCCCAAATTGCTTTCCAAAAGTATTGTTCCAATTTACAGTCTTAGAGTTTTATGTAAGATAGAAATAATTACTCTTAATACATTTCTTCTTTATATCACACAAATTTTAGGCTATTATAACAGGGATTATACTTTTAATACTTGCCTAGAGAGTTTTATAACCCCTGAATCACACAGAGCCTTCTGTAAAGTCTATATATTTATTTTCTTTCTCCTCCTAGAATCCCTTGTCAGACGGGTTTTCATCTGATACATCTTTATGTCCCTTGTGGGAACTTGCATAAAGTCAGTACTCAATAAGTACTTTGTTTAATGTCTTTTGCTAAATATATTTTAACCTTGCCTAGGACATAGACTGTAGCCAAAACTGTCTAAGGATTACTCATCAGTGATTCATAATTATGCAACCATGAAGGAGGCTTAAACTTTAGATGTTTCACATTCCTCAGTGCTTTACTGTCAAAATTTGGGTACAGTTAAAGGATGGCTGGTTATTTAATTACTCATTTACTCAATTTAGTAATTTACTTCTACCTTTTTACAATATGAAATGTACTAAAATATTAGTAATAAAACACTAATTGATTTACAACTTAAAAGGAAACAACTTCTGCAGAATGGAATCTTAAAATAAGCCTTTTTTTTTTCCACAATGAGATACAAAAAGAAAATACTTTAGAGTAATGTAGATATATAAAGATGCATAGTTGCCTTTTAAAATATTTTCCTAATGCCCTTGGTTTTATATTTTTCCTATTTGTAGCATTCTTCCTACTTTATTTTTAGAGGATCTTTGTTTTTCATATATTCTGAGAAACTTTGCTCCATTACTTTAGAGCCCACCCAGGCTTACTTGGTGTACAAGTATAATGCAACTACTGTATTAAACTTCAAAAGTTCAGAGGTTTAATCTGTAAAAGCTTATTTATCTCACTCACAAATAATTCAAGGCAGGGTGGAGGCTTGCTCGTGGGTAGCTTTTCTCCATGTAGAGATTCAAGGATAGAGGCTTTTCCTCTAATGACTCTGCCATTCCAGAGTCTTCCAAGAAGAAGGATCAAAAGAGAACGGAAAAGGCATACCCACTTCTTAACTGCGTTAGTTTAGAAGAAACACACATCACCACTCACATTCCATTGTGAACACATAGTTTGGGCTCTATTTAGATACAAGGCAGAAGAGAAATGTAGGCCTTGGCTTGACATTACCTCCCAGAACAGCTCCAGAGTATAGGAGGGACATTTTCTTGTGGATAATTAGCTGAGCCTCACAGTCATCTATTAGTTAGGAAGAAAGAGTTTCAATTTTATAAATTAGGAAAGAGGTACTGAAAAGTTGAAATCCCAGTTAGTTAGTGATAGACATGCAGTTTTAATCTGTCTACCTACCTAACACTGTATTATAACATTATATAAGTTTCTGTTGTGCATCATTGCAGACTGGCAATTTAGAAGCCAGATCATCTGACTCCTACTCCTTTTCTCTTAATATTAAAAAATGATCCTGTCCTGGCTTAAAGTATAATCCTCTTGGTGACTTATTACTTAAGTTGCATACTTGACCATATTTAAAAGAAAAACTTCTTTTCTCTAAGGACCTGATCATGTCCCTGTATTGTGGAATTGCTTGCAGGAGAAAATCTTTTTGGTACTACAGGCTGCTGTCTACCTATGTTACTAAGACCCGGTGAGTTTTGACCAACCTGAGCTATAGTTATTCTATCTTCAGTTCATTAAGTTATAAAATCCAAAGTATATTGAAATTCTACATGGAGAACTAAGGATGTATGATCAAGACTTATTTATAAATATGTTCATTGCAAATTATTGGAAAAATTCTTAACAAACTGAATTTTCAATAACATCTAAAATATCTGACATACTTAAATATAAATTCTGTCAACAATTTTGTCTTTTCCACTGTAGTACATAAAACACACATAAAACAGCACCTGGAACTGAGTAGGCACTGTATTATTGAATAGATGAATGAAATTGTGGAATACCAGTTCATGAAATCTCTTGTAAATAAGATGAAAAAATGCCAACTTCCTCTTCCCCACCATAAAACTAAACTTCAATAAAATGTTGACTAGGAGGAAAAAAAAAACCACAGCTGTGCAGGAAGATGATAAAAGACTTCTTTGTCTCAGCGTAGGGAAATTTGAAATCTGTGACATTGAAATCACTAACATCCACTAGTTTGGGGGTTTAAATTTGTATTGTCTGTACAAGTGGTTGTGGTCCCAAAACCCTCAACCGAAGAAAATAATTTAAGTAGTAGTATTAGTCTGGTCACACTCATGGCATACCTTATAGAAGCAAATGTAAAGCCCATCTGAGGGATATACTCACAACCAAGGCTTCCCATACAGAAAGCTCTGTTAAACATGAGTGCCCAGTCCAAATTTAAAGGCACAGAAACAAGTAATCTTACATGAACAAGAGTGAGAAAACAACATCACAATCATTGTTTTAAATATTGTTGAACACATAGGTAACTTGTAATTTTCAAACTGAGTCTCTGAGAACAGTAACATAACTATTTAAATTTTTTTTTAATTAAGGTAACATTGGTTTACAACACTGTGTATGTTTTAGGGATAGAGGTACACCCCTCTTTAAATGTAAGTTACCACACCAGGCCCCCACCCAAAGTACCAATAACCTACCACATCAATAACAGAATTGTTGAATAGAGTCTAAATAATGAATATGTTAAAGTGAGTAGATATATTAAAATGAATAAAAATCATGTGAAAAGAATAAACTATTGCTAAAGAATGACACAAAAATGTTAAGAAATTGGTTGAAGAAAAATGTTTCAGAAAAAAGGCTATGAATTAGTTGGTAAGACTTTTAGCGTACATATATATACATATATACATACACACACACATATGTATAGTATTAATAATTTGGGGGACTCCTAAGTATGTTCCAAACTGAGTGGTGAGATTATTGATTTCCTTATCTTAAAAAAATTGGTAACTGTATTTTCTGATTTTTATAGAATGTCTTTTATACTTTTATAATAAAAAAGTTTAAGTTTGATAATCCCAGTGTTGTGGTTTTCACACTATCATAACTAAAGTGAAAATGTATTTTTAAAATAGTGTTCCTGATCAAGAATACAAGAAAATTTTTGGATTTCAGTTCCAGTTCCATTAAAGCCCCAGGTTTAAGACCCTAACCTGAGTGCTTTTATAGGTGTTTTTCTTTTTAGGATCATTAGGTCAAAGCACAGGTTGTACCACTTTTACTGTTCTTTTAGGAAGGCAGCTGTGTTTGTTCTAATGTTTACATTGGGTAACTTTTAAGTGGCACACATCTCTCCTTTGACATAGAGTCTTTGCCCCAGGAAGCTTCAGTAACTCATAATAAGTTAAAAAATACTATCATGACCTCAGGTTTCTTTTGTCTTCAGTTTCTAAAGAGATCATTATAACCGCTTTTATCACATTCTCAAAAATAGGTTCCTAAAGATCCCACTGGGGTGTGTTTATCGTTTGGTTTCATTGGTCAGTTCTACCTACCAACAAGTATTTCAAAGCTTCCAGCTTCTACAGAAAATATCTGTAAACTATTTCCCACTTTAACTGACAAAATAGTCCATGTGCCCAAGAGTCTATTTTAGAAGTGTCAATAGGCAAAAATGTTTAGTTATCACTGAGGCCCTAGAAGAATCCACATTCAGTGCCCTAAATCCCGCATATCCTGACCTGATTCCCAAGGTCTTGAATGGATAAACTAGGCCATTCTTCGTGAAATTAACAGAATAGCTTAGACTTTCTCCAGTACTGTTTCACTTACTAAAATTAAATATAGGATGTTTACTTTTCCACATTATTTTGGCTACTGAAAATATTACATTTATTATATAGTCAAATATCTATCAGTTCAAGTAGCTATCTATCTATTTTCCCATCAATGGCCCCTTGGTTGATAAATAAGGCACTAATGGTGCCTACTTGGGGGATAGATTCTTGAAACAAGGGTACATTGAAGATAAAATTTGCTCTTTATCTTCCCTAGAATGAATGAGAGTTGATGGAGGTACAGTATTTGTTCTTTGTCTACATAAAAGATTGCTTTCATATCTAGGTATTCTGTGGTTGATGTTTTTATCACTGTATTTATTTTCTTTTCACTCCACTGCATGTAAATTCTTGCCTCACAGAATAATATTGGCAGAGGACCTTGAAGTTCAATTCAGTAAGTATTTATTATCCTTGAAGTTCAATAAATATTTATTGAATTGATCCATTCAATATGCTAATTAGATACAGAACTAAGGCAGCCCCTGCCCTTAAGGAGATCATAGTCCTTCATGAGAGACAGATTCACAAATTGTACAGTATAATTATAATCACAGAAGTGTGGGTAACATACACAGTAGGACAAAAGAGAGAATGAGACAGCCCACAGCCACCCCAAATCCCTTTTGGAGCAATTCATGATGTAAACAGATAAAGGGAAATAACCATGGTAGGTGAGGGGTGTGGGAGCAGAATTTGCAGAGATGAATGCTGTACAAGTGCCTAAGATGATTTTGTAACGCTTTGGCTATTTCTCAAATACAGATATTTATTTGAACTGAAGGAAGATGATGATGCATGTAAAAAAGCCCAGCAGACGGGGCTATTTTACCTCTTTCATAACCTGGCTCCTTTGCTTCAAAAATCAGAAGATCAATACCTGGTCCCCCAGCATAGCCTGTTAGGTAAGTCCAGAGTAGACCAGTCTATGGCCACTTAGAAAAATTTGTTCCAAATTGAACCCCTAAGAAGGATCCTCTGAATTTAGGTTCTACATTTTTTCAAACTACTTCTACCAATTAGTTATTTAGTGTATAAACCTGAATATTTGATGGTATGAACCAATACTGCCTTAACCAGTAAACCAGGGGTTAGCAAAACTGTTCCATATTGCAACTTACTGCTTGTTTTGTAACTATTAGAACATAGCCACACTCATGCATTTAAATATTATCTTTGGCTGCTTTCACTCTACAATGGCAGAGTGGAATGGTTGTGACAGAAACCATCTGACTCACAAAGTCTAAAATAATGTTGCCATCACCTGCCTTAGGCCAGTGACTTCCAGCTTCCATGAAGTTGCATGCTGTTACACTGTTTAAGATTTGCTTCATCACTTCATTTCTCCTACATGGGTCAAAATAAAAAGTGAATTAAAATTAATTTGTTTTGAGAACTCTTTTAGGGTGTGTGACTAGAGATATCTAAGCCATTAGGATTTGGCATTCAAAATACTAACTTTCCGTGTTATGTAATGTCACTACACACTAACTTCTAAATACATTCCTGGCCCTCCCTGGTGGCACAGCGGTATTGGAGTGCAGCACTATGAAGCTGGCTGCAGCCGCTTCAGTGCGAGTTTGATCCCCCGCCCTAAGGTGATCCACATGGTACAGCAGACTTCTCCTGTCTTGCCTGCTGCTCCCCTCAGCAGTGTACTTCATTGATCTACCTGTTCTGCTCCCCACACTGTCTCTGGTAAAGTCTCTCACCACCCCTGCATCTCTGGCCTATACCCCAATTTTGTATGCATAAATAAATAAAATCTTTTTAAAAAGTACTTTCCCATTCAACTTCTCATGTGGGTCAGATGGAGTACTTAAACAGGTTGGGGGCCCTCCCCGGTGGCGCAATGGGTTAAAGCACAGCACTAGCAGCAGCCACTTCACAAGTTCGATCCCCTGGCCAGGGAAGTGATCCACATGACATGACAGACCTCTCCTGACCCGTCCACTTCTCCCCTCAGCAGTGTACTTTGTCGATCTTCCTGTCCTGCTCCCTATTCTGTCTCTGGTGAAGCTGCTCACCGTCCCTGCACCTCTGGACTGTACCCCAGTTCTGTATGCATAACTAAATAAATCTTAAAAAAAATAATCAGTTTGGAGCAGTGCAGAAAATATGAGAGTGCAATCTGAAGGCACTTAACATTATTTAGGGATTTAGCAATGTTGTATTGTGACTAAATAAATCTGTGTGCAGGAAAATAATTTTTCTTTCTATATAGCACTTCTCATATAGACTGGAATTTCAGGTGAATATTTGACCCTGGCCTACAATTGACACATAATCTGGAGACTAAATTATAGAACTGATTTAGTTTCTGTAATTTTAAGTCAGACATTTTTTTTCTAAGCCATAAATTTACTATCATGTACCTTTCAAGTTAAGGGATATGTGCTTTTAATGATACAGAGAGTAATACACAAAAAGAATTCCTTCTTTAGTCTAAACTTCTTTAGTCTAAACCTTCTAAAGAGGTTAAATGATCAGACTAAAATTAAATAGCTAATTGACTAGCTATATTGTCATGACCAGAAGCCAGAAATACCTAACTTCATGCTGATTTTTAAAATCTAAACATGTAATTATTACTCCTATTCCCTCCCTTCTTTTCTGTTTCTTAGAGTTGAAAAGGCTTCTGGGTAAGTTTGGACATGATACAAAAAGAATAGAAGATTCTGTGCTGATTGGATGCTCCACACAGCATGAAGCATGGTTTGCTCTGGACCTAGGTCTAAACAGCAACTCTTCCATAAATGGTATTCAACATTATACCTGATGGGTACTACCAAGTGGCATTTAGACTTTAGGATTTCACATAATTTATGAATAGTAAAATCTCAAAGAAAATACAAGTTAGGACAAAAATGTATGATCCACTATCATCATCACTTAATATAAAGAACATTTTAATGCATTCTGAGTTAGGTGAAGAGTATACAGGTTTTATTGTATTACTTTATACATTTTATAGGATTTAAGTATTTCATAAGAAATGTTCTGAAACTATCATTTTTATCTTTTATCAATACAATAAAAGATTTTTATCTTTTATCTTTTTATCAAGCTCTGTGTCTTTCTACCTGCATTTAACAATCAGTTTGCTACAGGCTCATGGCGCCAAGCAGACTTTTCTTCTATTTTTGGGAGTATAAGTTTAATGATGTTGGAATGAGTTTGAGCTAGTAGCTTACAGATTCTATTTTATACTGCCAAGGACAGTGTGTGGCTTGTGCAAATGTTCTTATTGCCCTGAAGGGGATCTTGAAAATAACTAGGTGCTAATGTTTCCTAGATTTGCCTAAAAGAATTTGGTGCTTGTTAAAATAGGTTGCAGGGTGGGGAGTGGGGGCACAGAGGTTAAAGTGCCAGGACCATCAAGATATCACCAGCCACTGCAGCATGAGTTTGAACCCCAGCCAGGGAGCTGATCTTCATGGCACAGCGGACCTTTCCTGTCTCGCTGGTGGTTCCCCTTAGCAGTGCATTTCAGTAGATCTGCCTATTCTGCTCCCCACTGTCTTTGGTGAATTCCCTCACCTCCCAAACATCACACCTACACTCTAGTTCTTGTATGCATAAAATCTTTTTAAAAATTAGATTTCCGGGCCTCACTCCATATCACTGTTCAGAATTTCCATACAGGGCTTGAAAACTTATGTATTTTTTACCTAGTTGAAATTTATTATAAAATGTGTAATTTTACCTACTTGAAGTTTTTAGGCAAGTTTGGTAAACACTATTCTAACAGGATATACCTTAAGAGGATATCTAAAACAAAGTTGGACATTTGTTTCACTGCATTTTCTTTTCTAATTTTCTAGCTTCCTTAAAGAAACCTGATATAGAGACTGAACTCAAAGGATCTTTCATCGAGCTGAGGAAGGCTCTTTTTCAGCTGAATGCAAAGGATGCCTCCTTACTATCCACGGTAGATTCTGATTTCTCAGTTTGGTAGGAAATTTAATAAAGCAGTGTACATTGGCAGATATATACATGCATAACACAAGACTAAAATGACATTCAATTTTGCCTTTTGCAGATCATATAAACCATGGAAGAAAAACAATGTGCTGTAGGGAGATAGCTTATTCTTGTGCCCTTGTTTTTGTCAGGAGTGCTGTAAGGATCATTTTCCCTAAGGACATGCAAATCTATAACAATGTGATCTGCCAACCTCATAAACATTTTAATGACCCAAAGTATAATATATATTTTTCCTATGTGAAATGACTTATTATTTTAATGACATCCTCGCAGATTTAGATTTTAATTTAAAACTTCTAAACATTTTGTATTTGCAAAAACTTCAAATTTCATTGGAAGAACTATATATTGGAGTATTCGACTATATTGGAAATGTTTAATTTTAAGGTAGGTACTAAGTACATGAGTGTTTGCTGTAAAACTGTTTCAAATAATTTGTAATGCATTAAATATACTTTATGCACGTTGTAGATGCTATGGTTAGATAGTTTTATTAAAGTTTAAGTAGCTTTCCTGCCTACTCATGACTGCAGGCATTTTTTACAAACCTTTTCCCTTTGCAAAACAGCATCAGCAGCTCTCCTCCATAGACTGCCCACCTGTGTCTTTTCAGGTGCCTCTTTTTTTCCTTTCTACTTTTCGTAATAGACCTGCCCTTTAAAATGTAAAAGAAAAAAATTGTTTATGTAGTTAACACCCATACAAGTAGGCAAGCTGGAAAGGGATTGGCATTTCCTTTTGAGTTATTCTAATTAGTAGGTCAGGCCTTGTTGTTGATGAGTTCCATTTTTGTCTACCAGTCCATCTTTGTATCCCTAGGCTCAGGCTCTGCTCCGTTGGCATGATGCTCATCAGTACTGCAGCAAAAGTGGGCAGCCCACTGAAAAGAACATGGCTGGTAGCAAACGTGTATGCCCTTCCAGTAAGATTATCTATTATCCACAGGTAAACACTTATTTAAAATGACTATAATCTAAGGCCATTCTCAGCATGAGAATGGAAGCCTGTACAATTTTACAGGTTTTCTTTAAGAGGTTAAAAGATTTTCTTTAGTTATTCATTCTTTCATCTCCTTAACAGGCTTCAAAATCCTAAAGTCTGTGTTTCCACCCTCTTGTCCTAGATGGCGCCCGTGGTGATCACTCTGGTATCAGATGGGACTCGATGCCTGCTTGCCCGCCAGAGTTCCTTTCCCAAAGGAATGTATTCTGCCTTGGCAGGTTTTTGTGATATAGGTAAGGGGTTTGGAGCATGTACAAATGAAAATGAAGGACACAAACGCTTACCAATCATAGGTATCTGGCTTGTTGCCATAGTGCTGGAAGTCTCAGGCATGCTCTTCACTATCAGGTTAAGAACTGATTTGTGACATAAATTTTTCATGTTTTATTAGGAAAATTTCAAACATATAGGAGTGTTAAATTATATATGAATAGCTATATTCACTATATTTTATATATTTTTAACTACACTTAATCACATGTATCTTTCCATCAATTCATCTTATTTTTTGATGCAGATTGTACATATTAGTACACTTCTTCCAAAGTATGTCACTATGCATGTTAGCTAGAATTCAATATTTAGACTGCTTCTTCCAGTTTACTGGGGTAAAATTTGCAAGGGGTAAAATTTGCAAATGGTGTAATGTGGCATTAGAATTTTACAAAAGCTGAGGACAGCAGTAGCCTTTCCCACTGACACTTGTGTTACACTGTAACTAACCTAGTTGGTTTAAGTGTTGCTGTTCAACACCCAGCTCCAGATTTGGTTCCCATTCCTGTAGAGACTAAGAGGATTAGGGCTTTTTCCAAGAGTATTTCATTGAAACTTTGGGAGCCAGTCTTACGCTTTCACAAATGGGCATCTGTATCACCCTTCCTGCTGCAGGGCTGTCCTGAATTAATCTGAGTGCTTGTAGGTGAAAGTCTGGAAGAGACTATTCGGCGGGAAGTTGCAGAAGAAGTGGGATTGGAGGTGGAAAAATTGGAGTACTCTTCATCCCAGCATTGGCCCTTCCCTAATAGCTCACTCATGGTTGCTTGTCATGCAGCTGTGAAGCCAGGGCAGACAGAGGTAAGTTCTGATGCTTCCTATGCTTTAGTATTTCCTTTGACTGGTCCAAGCTGCTCAGTAGGCACTGACTAAACACATCTAGTCCAGCATTGTCTAGATTATACAAAGATGCATAAAATGATTTATATCTTTCAGGAATTACCAGTGTTAAAAGAAATAATCACCATGAGCGGCAACATGACCACCATCCTTCCTTCTATATAGCTCACTTATAAGACAATTTATCAATCAAACTGAACGCTTTACAGAGTACACCCACAAATATATGAAATTAAGATTGAATTTGGAACTGGTCTCACTGCTCAAGTCAGTTTGGATGTTAAGAGCTACTATATAGTAGTAGGAATTCTGGTTGAAAGGTCTTTGATATTGTCATAGCCAATCTCATCTTTCTCTCTGTAGCAAACCTGATAGATGGTGTTATGATCCTTGCTTATCATAGTGTAGTAACTGTGTTTTGGCTTCTATAGAATATTTAACCTGTCTCAGTAAACAGTAATGCAGTTTGCATGATTTTGCTTCTTGCAAAGAAGATATGCTTTTGATTATCATTAACCTTTTTCCTTTCTTAAAAGAGGTACAAAGAAAAAAGTATTATTCATAATTTATCCCTCAGTGGTAACCACTTAATATTTTACGATTTGTGTTCCCAGATTTTCAAAATATGCACTTTCTCTATAAGTATGAAACTATTTTAACTCTCATCTCCTAATTATACCTCTTTTGTATCTGAGCAATACATAAAACTAATTACATGTAGATTTCAGGCATTCTAAGATTGTTCAATTCTGGAATGATTTTCTCACCTCTTCCCAAAATATTCTAAATCCTGTAGTTCCTAACATTGCATCCCATTTTTCCTCATGTCTTTCAGATCCAGGTGAACCTGAGAGAACTAGAGGCAGCTGCCTGGTTCAGTCGTGATGAGGTGGCTACAGCTCTGAAGAGAACCAACCCATACACTCAGCAACAGAAGCAGAATGGGGCTTTCCCATTCTGGTTGCCCCCCAAGCTAGCGATTGCCCACCAACTGATTAAGGAATGGGTAGAAAAACCAACTTGTTCTACTGTGCTTGCTTAATTTTTAACAAGCCACCTAGATCCCTCTATTCTGGTAGGTCATATCAGAGATAAAGGGGAAGTGGCAAAAAGCCATGTCCAAGACAACGTCAATATAAGAGAGAACAAAGGTAAACCTACAATGAGACACCCCAAAGAAATTCCTAATTAGGAAAACAAAAATACCAATGTGAGAAAAAAAATTGGTAAGATGACAAATGTTCATCAGGAGGAAGGTTGAAGCACTAGTAAGCCTTGGGTTTGGCATGTGACTTGTTAATGTCAAAATGCCTGGAATAATTTCAGGGCCCTCCCTGGTGGCGCAGCAGGTTAAAGCACTGCACTAAGAAGCTAAAGCCACTTCCACAGGAGTTCGATTCCCCGGAGGAGACCACATGGCGTGGCAGACCTCTCCTGACCCGCCCGCTGCTCCCCTCAGCAGTGTACTTCGTCGATCTGCCTGTTTTGTTCCCCACTCTGTCTCTGGTGAAGCCTCTCACCGCCCCTGAGCCTCTGGCCTGTCCCCAGTTCTGTATGTACAAATAAATAAATCTTTCAAAAAAAAAAATGCCTGGAATAATTTCAGTTAAGACTTTGATCTTAGTATTGAAAATATATAGTTAAATCTCAAACTACTAATAAATTACTTTTTAGCTAAGAATACACAATATATTTTAAATTCAAGTAGAAGTAATTATTTTGTATATGGCAGTTACATAAAAGACATTTAAGTCATCTGAAGGTATAAAGAAAGCGTGGTTTTCCCCAAGAGTGTTCTGTAGAGGTAACTGCCTTCCAGTGAGGCTCAAGACAGTTAAGTCTTCTTTGCTGTTAATTTTCAGTTTGTGACCCAAGGAAAAGATCACTTTCAATGCCTATTTTCCTAAATGTAAAATTGTTGCTGACATTTGCACAGCTAATACATGTTAGAACTTTCAGTAAGGGATTAGTGAGTTTTATGGGATAAACTAAATTTGACATTTCTCACTATTCTTATTTGCCATCAAGGAGAGAATTTATCTGGAAGAAATAAATTTCCACTCTTATCCCAATGTATTTTTTTTTCTATCTTAAAAGGAAATTGAAGAAAGAAAGAATTGGGGATGGGGAGAAGAATAATCTTCATTAGTATGACAAATTAAGTCCAGGTTCAAAGTGTATGGAATGACTCAAGCAATGTACAGAGGAAAGTTTTAGTCAAAAAAGGAATGGCTGGGGAAAAAGAGTAGTATCTTCGCAATGATTTGTGATTAAAGACAAATGCCAGAGACACATTCACATTTCAACATTGTCTCATAGTACTAAACAAAAGAGATGCTAGAACAATGAAAGTTGAAGCACTGTTATTTCCTTTTGATGACAGCAGGTCACTGCTCTTGACATTGCCAGAAAACCAACATTGCTTTGTGAATAATCAAAGTAGCTTATCTGGAAATATTAAGTAATACTATATGATGGGACTTGTTTATTCTGTTAGATTGGCAGCTTATTCTGACCTGAGCTGAACCCTGCATGGAAAAGGGAAAGTACTCTCCAGAGAGAGATCCTCAGATTTCTTCATATTTTGCAGTTAGAAGAAAACAGTTCAGGGTTCATGTGTATTACTGTCTCCCAATCTTTTCTATCTCTATGTGGGTGTGTTTGTGAGCACATGTGTACACATCCCCAACCTGAAAACACTGATAGAAAGGGGAGTGTATGGGTTTCCTGGTTATGAGTTTCTCAAGCTTACCATGGAGTAACTGTTTGCTTTTTGATTAATATGTTGTTTTAGAAAAGAAGAGAGTGCTTAACAGGAGGAGCTGCAAAATTGAACTTTGTTTCCCAGCAGTGAGTGGGAAGAGGGCTCTTCTTAGAATGTCAAGGATATCTGAACCCTAAGGCAGGAGAGCAAGGTTGGGGGACTAAAAATGGCACCTAAATAAGTCTTGGTACGTCTGTACTTTATACCTGTCTGGAGAATTTATAGCCCTGAATTATGAAGGTGCTAAAGATAAGAAGAACTCACCATGTCCATGAAGCACAAAAACAAAACCAGACAAAATGTTAAACCAAATGTATGTCACCTAAATGAGCCTGACTCAAGTTCAGTCAATCCTACTACTTGAGTAAAAAAGCCGCTCATTTATTCCTATTTTTGCCTATACTACCTTCCTTTCTCTAGTCAACATTTAATTTTCAGTACAGATAAAACACAATGAATGTTCTAAATATGAAAAGTAAATCTTATCTCAGGGGCTACCTATGGGTTTCTTTCTCTTCTAACTTTAACTTCTAAATGGTATGAACCATAGAGCTGAGATCACAAGGACTTGAGCAGAGACTGCAAAATTTAGGATTCATAGAGGAAAGTCCACCTGTGAAACTTGTAATGAAAAAACACTTTATTAAATGGGTAATCTAAACTAGAAATGAACACAAACACTCAATATTTATTGAAGAAAAAAAAAGCCTAGGTATGTTCATTAATCTTTCGTTGGCTTACTTGTGGGTCTGTGATCAATGTTGTCAGGCAGCTGCACTCCCATGCTTTGTAAAAGGTTGGAAGCAGGTCCTGCTAGTCCAGCTTGAGAATTATACGATTCCAATATATTTGAAACCAGGTTTAAATCTACATCCACTGGTGTCATAACAGATCCTTCTGCACCAGAATCTTCTTCGTCTGAATTGGTCTGGGACAGAGGTTCCTTCATTACAGAGGGAATAGAGAATCATGGGGTAATATGCAATTAGGTTGGATGGTAATAATAATAAAATGCCTATATCATAAAATGGAATTGCCAATTTATAAAATACTTCTTATCCGTTGTGACAGAAAGGTAAAAATGAAATTTATTAAGGAATTTGATACACATTAAAATTTAGTTTCAGAGACTATAATACTTTGTTCTACGAAATGTTTCTGCGAATCAAATGTATTTCTTCCTGATTTTGAATTATCACAAGGGATACTGTAACCAGAGTTAAGAAGGTACATTTATGGTTTGCCTAAATTTAAAGCAAACACATAAAATAGTGTATAATAAAAAGAAAATGAAAAAAAAAATGAATATTAAAAAAGGAATTAAATTTTCTTCTAGATGAAAGCACCTATATTTTCTTTTCCTTCCCTCAATAAAAATAAAAAGTAAAACAAAGACTCTGAATTACCTGAATTGCTGATTTCATAATGAGTAAAGGATCAAAAAAACTACAGCTTGATGTACAAACCTTTATATCTTTGCTACTCATTGGACCAGCAGCATGTATATTGCTTGGGTGCTCGATAGAAATTTAAGTATCAGGCTCCACCCCAAACCTACATACTCAGAACCTGCATTTTAACAATATCTTTTAAGTGGTACATACTCACATTAAATTGTAAGAAACACTGTTACTTGGTTTTGGCAATACTAGAACTGCTTACAGATTTTAAATGTGGTTTAGATAATTAAAACAAAGGGAATAACGGCCGTCCCTGGTGGCGCAGCGGGTTAAAGCACAGCACTGAGAATCTAAAGCCGCTTCCGCATGAGTTCAATTCCCGCCTGCCCCAGAGGTGGCCACATGGTGCGGCAGACCTCTCCTGACCCGCCCGCTGCTCCCCTCAGCAGTGTACTTCGTTTATATGCCTGTTCTGTTCCCCGCTCTGTCTCTGGTGAAGCCTCTCACTGCCCCTGAGCCTCTGGCCTGTACCCCAGTTCCGTATGCACAAATAAATAAATCTTTAAAAAAAAAAAAAAAAAGGAATAACAAAAATTAACGGCTTGTCGGTTTTAGTGTTATCTCATTTGGTTCTCATACTAATAAGATGACGTGAAGTTATTGATTAATGAATACATTCACAGCGGACAGCTGAACTGAACTGCAAGCCCTAATCCAAGAGACTCGAGGGTCCATTCTCTTTCTACTGTCTTCCTAGGGTTAGATAGTGCTGGTATAAAAAGCAGGGTGAGGCCCTCCCTGGTGGCGCAGTGAGTTAAAGCACAGCACTGAGAATCTAAAACCACTTCCACATGAGTTCGATTCCTACCTGCCCTGGAGGTGACCACATGGCGCAGCAGACCTCTCCTGACCTGCCCGCTGCTCCCCTCAGCAGTGTACTTCATGGATCTGCCTGTTCTGCTCCCCACTCTGTCTCTGGTGAAGCCTCTCACCACCCCTGAGCCTCTGGCCTGTACCCCAGTTCTGTATGCACAAATAAATAAATCTTAAGAAAAAAAAATTTGGCTCGCTCTCTCTTTTTTAATATTGTTTGCATATATGAACTGTTGGGTAGGCCAGAGGCATCAGAGATGAGAGGATTCACCAGAGACAGAGTGGGAAGCAGAGCAAGCAGATTTACTGAAATACAGTGCTAAGAGGAGCAGCAGGTGAGATAGGAGAGGTCTGCTGAGCTATATATGGGTCAACTCCCTGGCAGGGGATTGAACTCAGGGTACTGTGGTGATAACACTGAGACTTAACCACAATGCCAACAGAGAGGCCCTCTTTCTCATATTTTAGAATTAATTGATTAGTGGTATGCAAACACATACTAATTTAAACATAATACATGATTTGTAAATTTTAAATCCTGATAACATAGAATAAGTAATATAATTAAGTTTACATTTAGAAAACTAAATAATCTTTACCCTACGAAAGTTAAGAAAAATATTTTAACAAAAAATTAAATTCATCATAAAATAAAAATAAAGATCTAAGTTTTGCTATCTTTTATTATTAATGAAGAAATTATTATTATTAGAAAGGAAAATAGATTAAAATACATACCATTTGTTTCTGTGTAGTGAAACTTTTGCCAATGCTGGTATGTGCCAGTTCCTGGTCCATCTGGGCCATGTATGACTTAAGACTATCAATAGTTCCTTTTACAGATGCTCCTGTACAGGCCTCTTCACTTTCAAAATCTAAGTCATCATCACTGTCTAAATTTTCAAAGTCTTCTTCCAGATCATCAGAGTCAGACTCATGAGAACTTGGTCCTACACAGATCGCCAAAAAAAAAAGAGTCAATTGGTAATTTTTTAAAGTGACTATACCTTTCAAGAGTATTAAACTATAACCTGCAGAAAACGACCTATATACCAGAAGTTCCTTCCAAAAATAGTATTGCTAGTAGATGTCTGCAGAAAAGTAAACGGGCTGCAAGACTCAGGTTTTTTTTTTTAAATGTGAATCAATTAAAATGTTTTCATTTAAAAACTACATAATTGGGCCCTTCCCAGTGGTGCAGCGGGCTAAAGAACAGCACTGAAGGGCTGAAGGCCACTTTGGCATGAGTTCGATCCCTGGCTGCCCCGTAGGTAACCTACATGGCACGACAGACCAATCCTGGCCTGCCCGCTGCTCCCCTCAGCAATGTACTTCCTCAGTCGGCCTGTTTT